TAATATTGTAATTATAATATTTTTATTAAAAATATTATCTATTAATTCTTTATTCATTAAATATAGGAAGTTAGAAGGTTTTTTTTAAGAAAAATACAAAATATTAGTTTTTTAAGAAAAACGAATAATTTTTTTTTTCTTTTGAAAATAAACGAATATTCATTATACCACGGTTGGTTTGATTTGATGGGGTGGAATACGAACAGATCAGAAATTATTATAATTAATTAAATTACTTTATAAATTATTTAAAATAAAACCTCTTGGTATGATCAAAATAGAAAAATAAAAAAAAAAACCTTTCTCTAAACCAGACAAATTATTAAAGATGGTGAACGGTACATGGCTCTGCTTATAAACGCCCATTAAAATTAAAGCAAGAAAACAATATCTCGATCTCAGCTATATATCCCGGCCTAATTCCCTTCTCAAATATTAGTTACAGTATGCACATTCGGTGCTACCATAGTTTCGAAACCTAACCAAGACACCCTCAACCAGATAAAGATCTGTACACAAATTCCCCTCAGAAGTAATGGCCTTTAAACAACCATGGGGAACAACAAATATCGCTAGCGCTCTTCCCAGACCAATTACGACCAGATCCCAGTTAAAATATTAGCTTGAATTGTGTCTTTTTTTTCTTTTTTTTTTGGTAAGTATTCTACTTAAGAAATTCTTTTCTAAAGTTGTGGAAATTCCCTTCACTGTCTTGACATGTTAGAAAATGAAAAGATATGATACCTTCTTCTTTTTTCTTTTTTCCTTTTTTTTTTTTATTTCTCTCTTTTTATTTAGGATTTATTTGATATAATAGTTAAAATTTTATGGATATATAATGGGTAACGAATAATTGTAGCAGATAATAAGTGACAGCAAATAATAGATGACAGAAGATAATAGAAGGTAAATAGTGAAAAACAATATATAACGGATTTAATTTATATAACTGTTTGATTATACAATAATTAATAATTATTATCTAACATTAAATGACTAATAAAAATATGTTTAAAAATAATTAAATGTATTTTTCTCTTTATATATATTTTATTATTAAAATTATTAATTTTATAAAAATAATAATACAAAAATAAATAAATAAATTATAATAGTGTAATTGTATAT